GTGGCGTGGTCTCGGGCTCTCGTGGCGCTGTGTGGCGTGGTCTCATGCTCTCGTGGCGCTGTGTGGCGTGGTCTCACGCTCTCGTGGCGCTGTGTGGTGTGGTCTCGGGCTCTCGTGGCGCTGTGTGGTGTGGTCTTGCGCTCTCGTGGCGCTGTGTGGCGTGGCTCGCGCTCTCGTGGTGCTGTGTGGCGTGGTCTCGGGCTCTCATGGCGTGGTCTGGCAGTGGTATGATCTCACGTTTTTGTGGCACTGTGTACCATGGGAAGGCCATCCTGGCTCAGCGGCGGCCTCACCGGGCTGGCACCAGTGTTGGTAGCTCTTCGGGGCGATGGAGAGTAGACAGGTGAGGCGGAGCGGTGCCCGCTCCCGCAGCTGCCTGTGTGGTGTGCGCTGCCCATGGCTGGGCTGTGGCGGGGCCGGCTCTGGTCTCGCAAGCTGGGCAGGAGAGCCAGGCAGGGCCGGCTCAGACCTGGCTCTCAGGCAGCAGGGCTCAGGCTGCCCCAGGACCTTTGGAAGGAAGGGCGCCTTACTGAGGGCCACTGTGGATGGAAGGCCCCAACGTTGGCCCGTGCTGTAGCAGCTGGGCTGGGCTGGTGTCCCTGGCCGCAGAGGGGCTTCAGGCAGCAAGCCTGGTTCACCCGCCCCTGAGGGCCAGGGAGCAGTCAGTGTGCAGGCCAGCCCCGCCCAGCGCGGGTCCTGCCTCTCCACGGACTACTCTGTGCCTCAGTTTCTCCATTCTGCTTTCCACGAGTAGCTGCCGAGTAGGCCGGGATGTGCAGAGCTGAAGCGTAGTCCCAGCCCCCCACCCCCCTCCCCCGCAGCCCCCCTTCTGCCGCGGCCCTGGACGCAGTCCTGCTCACACTCCCCGTGTGGGTGCGGCCACAGGGGGGCCACCGGGCCAGCTTGTATTGGCTGGGCTGGGGTCTGGGGAACGTCTCCCGGGGGCTGGCCTCCACCTGCAGTCCTCCCCTCTCAGCCTCCGCAGCTTCCGTCCTGTTTGTGGGAAGGGTGTAAACGGTGAGACTCGCATGGCTGGGTCGTGTGCCGTCTGGAGTGGACTCCGCCCCCAGCACCCTTGTGTGGCTTGTGGCCTCGCTGTTGGCTCCGTGACTCCCCTCCCCCCAGCACACGTGAGCAGCCTGCTTTCCTCCTGCTGCACCCTCCCACCCCCCCCCCCCCGCGCGTCCAGCCACTGACCCCGACACCCCTACCCTCAAGGCCCCAGGGCACCATGGTAGGAGAAGCGTGGCCTTGGGCAGGCGCCCTGTGCATCTCTCCAGCCACGGCCGGGGCCTGGCAGGACTGGGGGGCGGGCGGGGGTGGGCAGGGGCGCGGCCGGTCCTGCGGTGGTGGGCAGGCTGGCTCTTCCATTGGAGCAGGAGCAGGCTCACAGCCCGAGTCCACACAGGACGTGTTGACTGACACTGGGGTCCGGCCCCCACCAGGCGAGGCGGAGGGCACTGGGCACCATGCCGTCCTCTCCCCATAAGTAGGGGTTCCCCCCCCCCGCAGAGCCAGGTCCCGAGCCGGTGGCCAGCTGGCCCTGCACACAGCAGGCTGCAGACGGCCAGGAAGGCCTCCTGGAGGAGGTGGAGGAGGCAGCTGTCCAGCAGCAGGGGCGTTTGATCTCGACAGAGAGCTGGAGAACGTTCTAGTGGGATGAAGAAGAGAACGGCCATCCCTGGGGCACAGCCAAGCGTGACCAGGACAGGATGGGGCAGAGCAGAATGGCACGGGGTGGGGCAGAGGAGGGGGGATGGGGAAGAGCAGAGGGGGGAGGGGGAGGGGGCAGAGCAGAGGGGAGGGGGAGGGGGCAGAGGAGGGGGGATGGGGAAGAGCAGAGGGGGGGAGGGGGAGGGGGGCAGAGCAGAGGGGAGGGGGAGGGGGCAGAGCAGAATGGCACAGGGTGGGGCAGAGGAGGGGGATGGGGAAGCGCAGGGGGAGGGGGCAGAGCAGAGGGGAAGGGGGAGGGGCAGAGGAGGGGGGATGGGGAAGTGCAGGGGGAGGGGCAGAGCAGAAGGGAGGGGGAGGGGGGCAGAGCAGAGGGGAGGGGGAGGGGGAGGGGCAGAGGGGAGGGGGAGGGGCAGAGCAGAGGAGAGGGGAGGGGAGGGGGCAGAGCAGAGGAGAGGGGAGGGGGAGGGGCAGAGGAGAGGGGAGGGGGAGGGGGCAGAGCAGAGGGGAGGGGGAGGGGGAGAGGGGGCAGGGCTGCAGGGAGTGTGCTGCTCTGGGCTCTGAGGTCAGGGTGCATGCACTAGCCACCACTTTATCCTCCGGTTAAAGGGCTAAAGGGGGAGGGGCACTGCAGACACCCGCCCAGGCAGTGGAAGGTTTATCGGGAGCCTGGAGGCCGTGGGCAGCCTCCACCGGCAGCCTCTCTGTGCTGCCAGCCCAGGCCCTCTGCCCTTTGGCCACACAGTGCTTCCTAATACGTAAGCCATCAGCGCCCGCGGCCCAGCTCGCCGCGGCCCGAGCGGCCTTCACACCTGCAGTGCTGCGTGCAGGCCGGCTACAGTCGGGTACGGCAGCCAGAGCGGGCTCCCCTCAGCCTCCTGCAGGCCCCTGTCCTCTCCGCTGAGGTGGGACCCCAAGGCTCCCGGGGGGGCTCGTCAGCCTCAGCTGCTATGGCCAGTGGAGATTTGGTAGCCAAGGTCCTGTCCCCACAGAGCCCCACACGGAGCCCCACACAGAGCCCCACACGGAGCCCCACACGGAGCCCCATGGAGCCCCACACGGAGCCCCACACAAAGCTCCACACGGAGCCCCACGTGGATCTCCACACGGAGCCCCACACGGAGCCCCACAGAGCCCCACACGGAGCCCCACACGGAGCCCCACGGAGCCCCACACGGAGCCCCACACGGAGCCCCACACGGAGCCCCACGGAGCCCCACACAGAGCCCCACGGAGCCCCACACGGAGCCCCACACGGAGCCCCACAGAGCCCCACACGGAGCCCCACACGGAGCTCCAGCGGCAGCGGGGCCAGCTTGAGCCAGCACTGTGATTTCTCACTCACTTGTGCCTTTGATTTTCAGTCTCGGCAACAGCACCACAGTGGCAGATGGCCTCTTCCCACGGCCACACGGAGTGCCAGAGCAGCCGTGGCTCCAGCCTTTTGTTCATCCATTCATAAAACACATTCTGGGGGCCCCGGCCCGCAGTCCAGGCTCCAGGGAACAGTTGGGGTTCTTGTGCAGGAACCCATACAAGCAGAGGGGTACGCCAGGCCACGGAGCTGCGCCCATGCTGTGTGACCGCGGGCAGGTCACTGGCAGCTCTGAGCCTCAGATTTGTGATGGAGAATCCACCCCTTGCCTCAGCCACCGAGGCCTGACGGGCCTGGGCAGATCTGTGAATGGGTTCTGGCTTCTTATAAAGGCCTGGCGTCCTACAGCCAGAAAGAGCTGGGAGGTCCTGACCATGGCCTGTTTGGGCGGAAGTGTGGCGGGGTGGGCGGTCAGCCACAGTGTCATCTGCTTTACCTGGAGATGGGACACGCCCAGGCCGATGGTCCAGGTCAGTGGTCCTGGCCCAGGAAGGCCGATGGTCCAGGTCAGTGGTCCTGGCCCAGGAAGGCCGATGGTCCAGGTCAGTGGCCCTGGCCCAGGAAGGGCGATGGTCCAGGTCAGTGGCCCTGGCCCAGGAAGGCCGATGGTCCAGGTCAGTGGTGCTGGCCCAGGAAGGCCGATGGTCCAGGTCAGTGGTCCTGGAGGCCAAAGGAGCCTCAGGCTCGGGAGGGGTCAGCTGCCTCGGTCATCTCCGTGGCTGGATGGGTTATTCTGAGGCTCCGTCCACCTGGGGGGAGGGGGGTAGCCTGAGCCCCTGGCCCCCTGGGGCTACATCTGTGACATGACCGCCACACCTGGTGGAGTACAACAGAAATGCATCGGTAGACTCAGGGGGTCTCTGTGTGGAGTGCTGGCCCAGCCCGTCTCCAGACAGATGCCCGGCTGCCCCCGATCTGGACCAGAGCGGACACCGTCCCCCGTGTCAGCGTCCCCGGCTGGGGCCATCGTCCAGGCCCTGGGCCTCGGTGCACAGTGTGACTGAGTCTCAGCTTGCTTTCCCCGCAGCTCCTGAGTGAGCATGGACGCATGCGGAAGGATGCCCTGAGGGCTCGCTCTGTGCAGCAGCTGGGTTGAACTCGGGCCCGGCACCTGCCAGGCAGGTGCTTGCTACTTGAGCCACCTCCCAGCCCTCTTGCTTTTGGTTTGCTTTTCAAATAGGGTCTTGCAATTGTGCTTGCCTCTTGAGCAGCTGGGATTGCTGGACGGCGCTGCCACGCGCGGCCGGGTCTATTGGCTTAATCTTGTGATGACGCTGGTCCTGGTGAGGTTCACAGTCATGCAAGCTCAGCCAGTGACTGGGAGATGTATGGACCCCCTCACCTGGCATGGGTAGGAAGAGTGTTTTTGGATTATTGGAGTCTCAAGCTTGCTCTGTGTGTGTGCGCATGCGTGTGCATGCATGCCCATGCTGGGCTTGAACTTGGGGCCTCTTTCCCTTAGCTTTTTTGCTCATGACTGGCGTTCTACCACGTGAGCCACCCCTGCATTTCTGGCTTTCTACTGGTTAATTAGAATAAGGACCTCACAGACTTTCCTACCAGGGCTGAGGTCCTCAGATCTCAGCCTCCTGGGGTTATGAGGCTTATTAGCTTTTTCAGGAGCTGTGCAGGCCTGCCTACGGCACCACAGGTCCCGTACAGCTTCCCTGGCGCCCAGTGACTCCCCCTGGCAGGGTTCGCACCTCATCAGGCCCTGACACACAGTGGGAAGGCGTGCTGGGTGTGAGTGTGTCCCAGACATGGCCGTGTGCAGCGGGCGCCCGCGCCCGGCAGACTCCAGCCACACGTGCAGGGAGACTCAGTACCCCCCTCCCAGGACGGAGCACGGGGTGGGCGGGGCTCCGCGTTGGTGGGCAGAACTGAGCAGTAGGAGGGGGGCTGACATGTGGCCGGCAGTGGAGCGTGTCCAAGCCCAAGTCCAAGTCCAGGAGGGGTGAGGGTGCAGGCAGAGAAAAACAGGACAGAGAAGAGGACCAGGCTGCAGGGCTTGGGCCGGAGAAGCCGGGTAAGCAGTGGGCCAGGAGGGCAGAGGGAAGCGGGGTGGGCAGGGGAGGCCCAGGGAGAGGGCTCGGAGGAGGCCTGGCTCTTGGGCATCTCCCTGATCTGCACTCGGAGCCAGCTGTGCAGCTCCAGTCTGATGGAGGAGGCCGGCACCGTCTGAACAGCGAGGAAGAGGGGCCCAGGAGTAATGGCCAAGTGGGGCCAAGGAGGAAGAGCTGACACCAGCAGGGAGGCCCAGGGCAGCCTGAGGACTGGGCCCAGGGCAGCCTGAGGACTGGGCCCAGGGCAGCCTGAGGACTGGGCCCAGGGCAGCCTGAGGACTGGGCCCAGGGCAGCCTGAGGACTGGGTCCAGGGCAGCCTGAGGACTGGGCCCAGGGCAGCCTGAGGACTGGGCCCAGGGCAGCCTGAGGACTGGGCCCAGGGCAGCCGGCGCCTGTGGAGTGGGCAGGCCCGCGACCCTGAGGACTAAAGATCTGCACTGCAGTTCTAGGCCTGGGCAGCCCACACCCACCCCACAGGGCGGGCGTCTGTGATCCCAGTTTGGAGCCCATTTGAGTCCTTTCTCCTCTTGAAATGCAGGAGCCAGAGGATGGCTTCTGATTGGTCAGAACCAGTCTGACTCTAGTTCTGATTGGTCAATGAAGTTTATTCTTAACCAAGAGCAGGGGAAGCTGAAGAAAGGTTCACAACACTCGTGTGTGTGTGTGTGTGTGTGTGTGTGTGTGCGTGTGTGTCTGTGTGTATGTGTGTGTGTGTGCGCGCGTGTGTGTGTGTGCGCGCGCGTGTGTGTATGTGTGTGTGTGCGTGCGTGTGTGTGCGCGCGTATGTGTGTGTGCGTGTGTGTGCGTGTGTGTGTGCGTGTATGTGTGTGCGCGTGTGTGTATGTGTGTGTGCATGTGTGTGTGCGCGCGTGTGTTGTGTGCGCGCGCGCGTGTGTGTGTCTGTGTGTGTATGTGTGTATGTGTGTGTGTATGTGTGTGTATGTGTGTGTGTGTGCGTGTGTGTGTGTGCGCGCGCACACACACTCATGTGCATGCACACCAGTCCTGTGTGTGATGTGCTTGCACACCAGTCCTGGGCTAGAACTCCGCCTGGGTGCTGACCCTGAGCTTTTCCTTCAAGGCTGTCACTCTACCACTTGAGCCCCAGCCGGTGTCCCAAGCCCACTGGACGCAAATAGAGGAGGAGGCGGCGGTGTGAGCTGCCTGCCTGGCTGGCTGCTCAGAGCCCCAGAGCCTCAGCTACTCCTGCCCAGCATCAGGTGGGTAAGGTCTCGCTGCCTCTGGGAGGTTCTGCTGGGGCTGGAACACAGGCTGGGAGTGAAGCAGGTGGGCTGTCTGAGGACAGGACTCCTCCAGTGCAGGGACACACTGTCCCCCAGCAGGTGGGCTGAGGACAGGGCTCCTCCAGTGCAGGGACACGCTGTCCCCAGCAGGTGGGCTGAGGACAGGACTCCTCCAGTGCAGGGACACACTGTCCCCAGCAGGTGGGCTGAGGACAGGACTCCTCCAGTGCAGGGACACACTGTCCCCAGCAGGTGGGCTGAGGACAGGACTCCTCCAGTGCAGGGACACACTGTCCCCAGCAGGTGGGCTGAGGACAGGATTCCTCCAGTGCAGGGTCACACTGTCCCCAGCAGGTGGGCTGAGGACAGGACTCCTCCAGTGCAGGGTCACGCTGTCCCCCAGCAGGTGGGCTGAGGACAGGACTTCTCCAGTGCAGGGACACACTGTCCCCCGGCAGGTGGGCTGTCTGAGGACAGGACTCCTCCAGTGCAGGGACACGCTGTCCCCCAGCAGGTGGGCTGTCTGAGGATGGGACTCCTCCTGTGCAGGGACACACTGTCCCCCGGCAGGTGGGCTGAGGACAGGACTCCTCCAGTGCAGGGACACACTGTCCCCCAGCAGGTGGGCTGAGGATAGGACTCCTCCAGTGCAGGGACACACTGTCCCCAGCAGGTGGGCTGAGGACAGGATTCCTCCAGTGCAGGGACACACTGTCCCCCGGCAGGTGGGCTGTCTGAGGACAGGACTCCCCCAGTGCAGGGACACACTGTCCCCCGGCAGGTGGGCTGTCTGAGGACAGGACTCCTCCAGTGCAGGGTCACACTGTCCCCCAGCAGGTGGGCTGTCTGAGGACAGGACTTCTCCAGTGCAGGGACACACTGTCCCCCAGCAGGTGGGCTGTCTGAGGACAGGACTCCTCCAGTGCAGGGTCACACTGTCCCCCGGCAGGTGGGCTGAGGACAGGACTCCTCCAGTGCATGGACACACTGTCCCCCGGCAGGTGGGCTGAGGACAGGACTCCTCCAGTGCAGGGACACACTGTCCCCAGCAGGTGGGCTGTCTGTGGACAGGACTTCTCCAGTGCAGGGACACACTGTCCCCCGGCAGGTGGGCTGTCTGAGGACAGGACTCCTCCAGTGCAGGGACACACTGTCCCCCGGCAGGTGGGCTGTCTGTGGACAGGACTCCTCCAGTGCAGGGACACACTGTCCCCCGGCAGGTGGGCTGTCTGAGGACAGGACTCCTCCAGTGCAGGGACACACTGTCCCCCAGCAGGTGGGCTGAGGACAGGACTCCTCCAGTGCAGGGTCACACTGTCCCCCAGCAGGTGGGCTGTCTGAGGACAGGACTTCTCCAGTGCAGGGACACACTGTCCCCCAGCAGGTGGGCTGTCTGAGGACAGGACTCCTCCAGTGCAGGGTCACACTGTCCCCCAGCAGGTGGGCTGAGGACAGGACTCCTCCAGTGCATGGACACACTGTCCCCCGGCAGGTGGGCTGAGGACAGGACTTCTCCAGTGCAGGGACACACTGTCCCCCGGCAGGTGGGCTGAGGACAGGACTCCTCCAGTGCAGGGACACACTGTCCCCAGCAGGTGGGCTGTCTGTGGACAGGACTTCTCCAGTGCAGGGACACACTGTCCCCCGGCAGGTGGGCTGTCTGAGGACAGGACTCCTCCAGTGCAGGGACACACTGTCCCCCGGCAGGTGGGCTGTCTGTGGACAGGACTCCTCCAGTGCAGGGACACACTGTCCCCCGGCAGGTGGGCTGTCTGTGGACAGGACTCCTCCAGTGCAGGGACACACTGTCCCCGGCAGGTGGGCTGTCTGTGGACAGGACTGCACCAGGCGGCAGCAGTCTTCTCCAGTCCCCCTGCTGGGGGTCATTCTTGGGACAGCAGGGCACAGGGGACAGGGGATCACAGGGGACAGCAGGCTGCTGGGGACAGCTCCGGTAGGGGGCTGGCCCCGTCCTCCTCCACCGGCCCCCTGGGCCAGCAGCCCTGCTCTTCCTGCTGGATCCCTGGTAACACATAGCTTAGCAGGGGAGGGAGTTGAGTGCGGTTTGGTTTTGTTCCGTTTTGTTTTGTGCCAGTCCTGGGGCTTGAACTCAGGGCTTGGGTGTTATCCTGTCTACCCCTGGTGCCACACTTTTACTTCTGGCTTTTTGTGGCTGTTTGGAGATAAAAGTCTCAGGGACTTTCCTGTCCAGTCTGGCTTTGAACTGGGATCCTCAGATCTCAGCCTCCTGAGTAGCCAGGATGACAGGCGTGAGCCACCGGCGCTCAGCAAGTGCAGCTTCTTCACCTGGGTTTGACTTGTAGCTGTCCCCAGCCATGTGACCTTGGACCAGTCCCTCAGCCAGCTCCGGTGTCAGCCGGCTCACTGGGGACAGAGCTACAGGGGGCTGCCTGGGTGGCAGGAAGGTAGAGGCCCCGACTGTGGCCTGCAGGGCATGGAGTGCTCCCCCAGGGCTGCGGCTGGCTTACCCCAGGTCCTTAGAAGGAGGAGACTGAGACCCAGCGGCTTCTGGACAGGCCAGGAAGGTGTGTGGGGTGGGGGTGGAGACCCAGCAGGTCTGGTCTGGGGACTCCCGGCCCGGACTCACGGAAGCCTTGCTGTCCCCAGCTAGTGACAACCCAGAACAAGGGCTCTAAAATGCCCGCCTGAAGAACCTCTGAAGACCTTGTTTGGAGGTGGAGTTGGGCGTGGCACCTTGATGGGCTGAGGGCACAGGTGACCAGGGGCCTGTGCTTCCCACGACCCTGTCCAGCCCAGGAGCCAGAACGAAAAGAGCGGGGAGAGGGCCTCGCACCCATAATCAGAGACCTTCCCCGCAGGTGTCTGCTGTCCCCCGGGAAGGAGGCTTGGGGAGGATGGGGGAGCAGGGACAGACCCGCAGGGCAGCCAGCGCTCCGTGCAGCCGCAGGGCAGCCAGCGCTCCGTGCAGCCGCAGGGCAGCCAGCGCTCCGTGCAGCCGCAGGGCAGCCAGCGCTCCGTGCAGCCGCAGGGCAGCCAGCGCTCCGTGCAGCCGCAGGGCAGCCAGCCCTCCGTGCAGCCGCAGGGCAGCCAGCGCTCCGTGCAGCCGCAGGGCAGCCAGCGCTCCGTGCAGCCGCAGGGCAGCCAGCGCTCCGTGCAGCCGCAGGGCCCCTGCTCTTCTGGAGCCCCACTGTATTCCAAAACTGTGCCACCTACACGAAGTGCTCATTAAACGCATCTGTGGCGTTCTTAACATGCAAGGAAGGCTGGCCGCCCTTTTCTCACCAAAAGTAGCATTCCTTGGCTCCTTTGCTTCCTGGCTGATAGCCCACCTAGCTCAGTCTCCCCAGCCGTGGAGCGGGGGTGACAGGGGCAGTGCGGGGCTCTGCCGCCAGGGGCAGTTCAGGGCCCCCAGAGCTGGTCGGGCACCACGCAGAGCCCGTCGGCCCTGACGCTTGTGTGACTGTCCCTCGTGTGCAGCGTGGAATAAGAGCATCCTTAATGTGGTTCATCCCTCCTCGGAGGCCCACGTGCACCCAGCCATCCCTCCAAGCATTGGTACACACCTGCTGTGTGCCAGGCGCCAGGAACGCGCCGGAGCAAGTTCCAGTCCCCACCTTCCTGGCTTGTGGCAGAAGACAGAAATAGAAAATGGTCATCAAGTCACAAAAGGGCCACTCTCAGACCTAAGCAAGAATGAGGGGGCGATGACCTTCCACCTTTGACCCTCACTGCAGGTCATTCTGGAGGAGCCGGAAGCTGGGCAGCAGGCAGGTCTTCAAGACCTCTGAAGGACAAGACGCTCTGGACTTGGTTCTAGCACAGTGGAAGCCAAGGGGAGCATCTGTCCACAACCGAGGGAGGGTGGTCCCCAGATCTCTGCTCTCCAGAGACCCCTGCAGCTGAGAGCGGAGGAGCCTCTCTAACCCAGGGCTAGCCTTGGAGGGGCTAGGGGAGCCCCTCCCAGCTCCCCGAAGTTCAGGGCTGGGGACATGGCCCTGGGTGGGGCCCCTGTGAGCCCATCCTGAGCTACAACGACCACCGCCCTCACCAGCACAGACCACTGGTCTTCCCGGGAGACCCCAGAGCTCACTCCACACCCTGCTAGGAGTTTTTTTTTTTACAATAAGGCAGGAAATCTTGTCCAATGGGGGAGCGGGGCTGGGGGTTTGAAGCCTGCTGCTCTGTGTCCTGTACTCATTCTCACCCCTCGCCACACCTGCCCCATGAACGAGCGCCTCCACCTCCACTGCGCCCATGAGGGAAGGAGGCCCTGCCCACACCCCAGCCCCACGGGCCTCACCTGGCCACACCTGGACCCCCTGTCATCCGTCCAGCACAGCCTGCGCTGCCCCAGCCCAGCCTGTTGACCAACCCTGCGGGCCTGTCACTGCGGCGGGTCATGTGTCCCAGGCTCTGCGGGAGGTTCCGGGGGCAGGGCTACGGGCTGCCGCTCACTGACCGGAAGCCGCCCGGTTCTGGCTGGGCAGCAGCTCCCTGGTCTGCCCAGGGCTGCGCTTGTCACCCTGTCCTGAGAGGGGCAGGTGCGCCTGCGGCCGTCCACCAGCCAGGGCCGAGGCTGGCCCGGGCCGGGGCCGGGGCGCCGTGCGTGACCGGGGGCCCGGCCCTGACCTGTGGAGGACGGAGCTCCGGGAAACCCCGGGAGCCCCCCACGGCCCCCCGCCTCCCTCCCGGCCAGCCTGGCCAGGCCTGCGGAGCGATCGCGGGCACCGGCGAGGAGAAGGGTGTGACTCCATGAGAGGTCGCGGGAGAGGCTCGGCGGGTCACGACGTGGGTGGGCCCCGCATCCCTCGGAAGGTAGGAGGGGGCTGGGCACTGGGCACGGGTCGAGGCCCCGAAGCGTCGGCCCCGCCCCCCGGATGTGGCCCCGCCCGCCCCCTCGTGGCCCCGCCCCGCCGGGCCCCGCCCATCCCCTCGTGGCCCCGCCCCGCCGGGCCCCGCCCATCCCCTCGTGGCCCCGCCCCGCCGGGCCCCGCCCTTCCCCTCGTGGCCCCGCCCCCAGCCGGGGCCCTGCCCGTCCCCTCGTGGCCCCGCCCCCAGCCGGGGCCCCGCCCGTCCCCTCGTGGCCCCGCCCCGCCGGGGCCCCGCCCCCAGCCGCGTTAGCGCCGGCCGCGCTGCGCTGCGCCGAGCGATGACTAGCCGCGCCGGGCGGCCGGCGCGCGGCCCGGGGTGGAGGCGCGGGGCCGGGGCGGGACCCCACGCGGCCCCGGGGCTTCCTGCCGCGGCGCAGGTTTCCTGGTAGCGGGCGCGGCGCGGGAGGCCGCGCGGGCGCCGGGTCAGCATGAGGACGCTCCGCAGGTTGAAGTTCATGAGTTCGCCCAGCCTCAGTGACCTGGGCAAGAGGGAGCCGGCGGCGGACGAGCGGGGCCCGCAGCAGCGCCGCGCCTGCGCCAACGCCGCCTGGAACAGGTAGGGCGCCGCGCTCGGCGGGGCCGGACAACTTTCCCGGCCGGCCCGCGGTGGGAGGAAGCTCGGCGGCGCGCTCGCACAGCCCGGCCGGCCGCGCTGGGGGCCGCCGGGGGCGGGGACGGCAGGAAGCCCTGCTCGCCCGCAGATGGCGGCCGCCGAGACTTCCTGTGTTCGCCGAGCGGCCCCTCGGACCGGGTGGGCGCTGGGCGGCCCGGGGTGGACGCTGGCCGGGGGCCCGGGGTGGGCGCTGGCCGGGGGTCCGGGGTGGGCGCTGGCCGGGGGCCCGGGGTGGGCGCTGGCCGGGGGCCCGGGGTGGGCGCTGGGCGGCCCGGGGTGGGCGCTGGGCGGCCCGGGGTGGGCGTTGGGCGGCCCGGGGTGGGCGCTGGGCGGCCCCTCGGACCGGGTGGGCGCTGGGCGGCCCGGGGTGGGCGCTGGCCGGGGGTCCGGGGTGGGCGCTGGGCAGCCCGGGGTGGGCGCTGGCCGGGGGCCCGGGGTGGGCGCTGGCCGGGGGCCCGGGGTGGGCGCTGGCCGGGGGCCCGGGGTGGGCGCTGGGTGGCCCGGGGTGGGCGCTGGCCGGGGGTCCGGGGTGGGCGCTGGCCGGGGGTCCGGGGTGGGCGCTGGGCAGCCCGGGGTGGGCGCTGGCCGGGGGCCCGGGGTGGGCGCTGGCCGGGGGCCCGGGGTGGGCGCTGGGTGGCCCGGGGTGGGCGCTGGCCGGGGGCCCGGGGTGGGCGCTGGGTGGCCCGGGGTGGGCGCTGGCCGGGGGCCCGGGGTGGGCGCTGGCCGGGGGCCCGGGGTGGGCGCTGGCCGGGGGCCCGGGGTGGGCGCTGGGTGGCCCGGGGTGGGCGCTGGCCGGGGGCCCGGGGTGGGCGCTGGCCGGGGGTCCGGGGTGGGCGCTGGCCGGGGGCCCGGGGTGGGCGCTGGCCGGGGGCCCGGCGTGGGCGCTGGCCGGGGGCCCGGGGTGGGCGCTGGCCGGGGGCCCGGGGTGGGCGCTGGCCGGGGGTCCGGGGTGGGCGCTGGCCGGGGGCCCGGGGTGGGCGCTGGCCGGGGGCCCGGGGTGGGCGCTGGCCGGGGGCCCGGGGTGGGCGCTGGGCAGCCCGGGGTGGGCGCTGGCCGGGGGCCCGGGGTGGGCGCTGGCCGGGGGCCCGGGGTGGGCGCTGGGCAGCCCGGGGTGGGCGCTGGGTGGCCCGGGGTGGGCGCTGGCCGGGGGCCCGGGGTGGGCGCTGGCCGGGGGTCCGGGGTGGGCGCTGGCCGGGGGCCCGGGGTGGGCGCTGGCCGGGGGCCCGGGGTGGGCGCTGGCCGGGGGTCCGGGGTGGGCGCTGGCCGGGGGCCCGGGGTGGGCGCTGGCCGGGGGCCCGGGGTGGGCGCTGGCCGGGGGTCCGGGGTGGGCGCTGGCCGGGGGCCCGGGGTGGGCGCTGGCCGGGGGCCCGGGGTGGGCGCTGGCCGGGGGCCCGGGGTGGGCGCTGGCCGGGGGCCCGGGGTGGGCGCTGGCCGGGGGTCCGGGGTGGGCGCTGGCCGGGGGTCCGGGGTGGGCGCTGGGCAGCCCGGGGTGGGCGCTGGCCGGGGGCCCGGGGTGGGCGCTGGCCGGGGGCCCGGGGTGGGCGCTGGCCGGGGGCCCGGGGTGGGCGCTGGGTGGCCCGGGGTGGGCGCTGGCCGGGGGCCCGGGGTGGGCGCTGGGTGGCCCGGGGTGGGCGCTGGCCGGGGGCCCGGGGTGGGCGCTGGCCGGGGGCCCGGGGTGGGCGCTGGGTGGCCCGGGGTGGGCGCTGGCCGGGGGCCCGGGGTGGGCGCTGGCCGGGGGTCCGGGGTGGGCGCTGGCCGGGGGCCCGGGGTGGGCGCTGGCCGGGGGCCCGGCGTGGGCGCTGGCCGGGGGCCCGGGGTGGGCGCTGGCCGGGGGCCCGGGGTGGGCGCTGGCCGGGGGTCCGGGGTGGGCGCTGGCCGGGGGCCCGGGGTGGGCGCTGGCCGGGGGCCCGGGGTGGGCGCTGGCCGGGGGCCCGGGGTGGGCGCTGGGCAGCCCGGGGTGGGCGCTGGCCGGGGGCCCGGGGTGGGCGCTGGCCGGGGGCCCGGGGTGGGCGCTGGGCAGCCCGGGGTGGGCGCTGGCCGGGGGCCCGGGGTGGGCGCTGGCCGGGGGCCCGGGGTGGGCGCTGGCCGGGGGCCCGGGGTGGGCGCTGGCCGGGGGCCCAGGGTGGGCGCTGGGCGGGGGCCCGGGGTGGGCGCTGGGCGGGGGCCCGGGGTGGGCGCTGGGCGGCCCCTCGGACCGGGTGGGCGCTGGGCGGCCCGGGGTGGGCGCTGGCCGGGGGCCCGGGGTGGGCGCTGGCCGGGGGCCCGGGGTGGGCGCTGGGCGGCCCGGGGTGGGCGCTGGCCGGGGGTCCGGGGTGGGCGCTGGCCGGGGGCCCGGGGTGGGCACTGGCCGGGGGCCCGGGGTGGCCAGGGGTCCGGGGTGGGCGCTGGGCGGCCCGGGGTGGGCGCTGGCCGGGGGCCCGGGGTGGGCACTGGGCAGCCCGGGGTGGGCGCTGGCCGGGGGCCCGGGGTGGGCGCTGGCCGGGGGCCCGGGGTGGGCGCTGGCCGGGGGCCCGGGGTGGGCGCTGGGCGGCCCGGGGTGGGCGCTGGCCGGGGGTCCGGGGTGGACGCTGGACGGGGGTCCGGGGTGGACGCTGGACGGGGGTCCGGGGTGGACGCTGGCCGGCGGCCCGGGGTGGGCGCTGGCCGGGGGCCCGGGGTGGGCGCTGGCCGGGGGCCCGGGGTGGGCGCTGGCCGGGGGCCCGGGGTGGGCGCTGGCCGGGGGCCCGGGGTGGGCGGGGGCCCGGGGTGGGCGCTGGCCGGGGGCCCGGGGTGGGCGGGGGCCCGGGGTGGGCGTTGGGCGGGGGTCCGGGGTGGGCGCTGGGTGGGGGCCCGGGGTGTGCACTGGCCGGGGGTCAGGGGTGGGCGCTGGCCCGGGGTCTGGCCTGGGCAAGGGCAGTCCGGGGTGGATGGTGGCCTTGGCCTTGCAGCTGTCCATGGGTGGGGCAGCTGTCCTGAATCCCAGGGAGGACCGTCTCTAGCAGGTGGATGCAGCAGCCTCCCCCTGAGCTGCTGGAGAGTGGGAAGGGAGACGGCTTATTGAGGGATTTCCCAGGGGTCTGCCCCTGAGCCCTAGCGGGAGGGGGAGGCTGCTGTTCAGGGGCGCTGCAGATGACTCCCCACTCCCACCCTGGCCATGAAGCCTGGCTCCGCCCACTGTCTAGGCCACGGGGAGCCTGAGTGTTGCATATCCGGGGGCCACAGGGACCCCGTTGGCCCTGTGCCAGGACAGGTTCTCTGAGAGGCTTCTGTTCTGCTCTCCACTAAGTTTCAAACGGCTTGAGGGCTGCCTCAGTTTCCCCCTGTCTAGTGGATCTGACCAGGCCTCACCACATCAGAGAGGAAAAGACTCCTGTTAGGGGCTTCTCATACCCCGAGAACGGCGCCACAGACTCTTAGTTCAGATCCTGCCTTCTCTTCCCTGCCTTAGGCATATTACTTTACATCTCTGGTCCTCAGTCTCTTTGTCCGTAACGTGGGCAGGTGGCTGTGGGCTCCAGCAGACCACTGAGGCGTGAAATGTGGAAATGCACCGTAAAAGCCCCCAGCGGTGTCTGGCACATGTAGGACCTCAGAATTGGCAACTCTGGCTCCTG